ATACTAATACCTCCTTGTTTTCTCTCTAATTTGGCTACTATGTCCCACAATCACGATGACAGATAAGCTACCGTACATGGTACACGCTCATATACACTCCCAAAATAGTATGCCGCAAGTAAGTATATCACAGAGGCAACTAAAGATCCAGAAACGCTGATAACGCTGAAGATAATGAGCTGTGGTGATTTATATGACTATATAGTATTATTTATTTATACTAACCTAAACACAACGTGGGGTGACCCAAATCCAAACGATCACTAACCAAAATAATAGACTTATCTTTTTTCAGCAGGTGTAATTTCGTTTAGTTCTGTTTCTCTCTTTTCAGCAAAACAACTACAAAAAAACCTCTATAACTCTTCTTCATTCTTTTAATCTCCTACTATCCCCTATAAATGTATCGGAAACTAGTGGGACTGTCTGTGCAAACAGAAACAGACCTGCTAGTGGAAGAAGGTCGTTATAACTCGCTTAACTCGTACTCGCACTCGCTTAACGGCAGATTGGTTTACAGTGGTCGACCAGGGTGTGTGCTGATAAATTACAAAATTACAATTACATCATTATTTCATACATCAGCTAGAATTGCGTTGATCGATGTTACATTTTTTTTTTGCTGTGCACTACACCAACCAGCAAAGTTCAACAATCCATCGTTGCTTATGCCTTTGTTGTCGTTTGGAACCAGTTTTGCGAGGTAGGCGACAATTGTGCGTATTTCTCGCGTAACTTTTGAAAAGGGCCTATTTATAGCCTGAACAATACGTAAAGAGCAAATTGAAACATTGAACGTCGCGTGAAAGTGGAACTTAATGAAGGCCTAAGTACTTTTTCATAGTTTTTAGTTTTCGGATTTGAGAGATCGTCGGTTACAGTGGCCTCCTTACTGAGCAGGAAAACGCGGTCTCAGGTCCTTACATATCAAAGAGATTTATGGTAAAATCGCTTGTGTATCGTGTATTTTGCGAAACTCGTTGTTGTCGTTAGTTCCGGGTTTGAATGGATACAAAAATTTGAGCAACGGTATTATGTGATATGAGGGGCTCGGTGGCCTTAGAGCAACCGTTTTTGCTTACTGAGCAGAACATCATGAGTCTAATCTCAGGCCCATCCACATTCAAGATTCGTCAATCGTTTTATTTGTTAATATGACTACATGGTAATAACAGCAACACGGTGATTAAAAAGGTGCTCGTCTGCCTAGTGGCAAACGTTTTTGCTTACTGAGCAGAAGACCGTGGGTTTAGTCCCAAGCTCCTTCGCGTTATATGATCGTTAGGACATCAATTCAGCTTATCGTTTACCAAAACGAACCCTGCTGCAAACCCAACCCTCTTATCCAACATCCCAGTGATTCCTCGTGGAAGTGCAGAGGTGTTCTCGGCTTCCATCAAAGCGAGTGTCATGTCAACACAATCCTTCCCCTTCCTTTCTTGACCTGTGTTCGGGCGCGGCCGGCGCTGGTATTGCCTAATTTAAGATCACCAGTTTTTACACATTGAGGATGATTGCTAGTCCCAAGCATTATCTATTGGTTCTCTGTGTAATTACAGCTGATCTGACAATAACAGAGTAGCAACCGTGGGCGGTCAATCAAGCTCAAGCTCAAGCTCAAGCTGTAGTAGTGTTTCAATTTATGTATTTTTGTGTTGACGATTGTGTGACAGAGATATTTGTTTTATTTTCCTACGTAAAAATGCAGCCCTCTAGAAATTGCTTCCCCCACTATACACATATCCACACCTCTAGGAACATTCCAGGAGCAGTGCTGAATGCTGTCCTTTTCGCTGGAAAGCTTAATATCTGCCACGGAAATGCCGTGGCAGTCTTTGCGCTCGTAATTCCAGTAAGCTCGATGAAGTTCTGAACGTCTTGTCGAACTCCAAGGTCGAGGTAGCGCGTTTCACCGACACATGGTTAACTTCGAAGAACAGTGATCGCAGCATCGACATCTCCGGCTACTCTGTTGTAAGGAACGACAGGGCGTGTAAGCGCGGCGGAGGAATCGCTGTTTACTACAAAGAACATCGTGCCTGCTCCAAGGTTTTCGGCACGGTACTTACAGCAGAATCGACGGAAAAAACTGAATGTTTGGCGTTAGAGTTTCGAGTGGACGGCAGCAAGATTCTGCTGATGACCATCTACAACTATCCCGATAACGACTGCTCATCTTTCTTGTGCGAGACTTTAATACTGACATGCTCCGCCCTAGCTACAGCCATTCGTTGTCATCCGTAAGTGAAGAACCGTCATTTTTCCATGGAGGTGGATGTTCACAACTTGATCTCTTCCTAGCAAATAGCAACGAAAAAGTTATGCGGTTCGGTCAGGTCAGTTTTCCTAGGTTGTCCCATCATGATCTTATCTTTGCGTCGGTAGATCTCGACATCTGACGGCCCTCCAGTCGATGCACTTATCGTGACTATGTGAATTTCGATCCGCATGCTCTGGAAAATGCTTTACTGTCTATTCCATGGAACCACTTTTACGAGATCGCAAACCCGAATGACTCTATGGAATTCTTCAATGAGCACATCAAAACTGTGCATGATTCGTGCATCCTTCTTGGAGCCAGTACCAATCGCCGGCGGCATAACCTGTGGTTCTCTGATAGTGTACGTCAGTCCCTGCTCGAACGAGCCTTGGCGTACAAGGACTGGTTGCTAGCTACAACGCAATCGAAGGACGTAAAGCGACAGCGGTATAAGGTGCTGGAGGAACCGTGCTAACATGAAAATTGTTCAAGCCAAACAGCAGTATATAGACCGTTTCTTGGACAGCAGAACTCCGTCGAAAACCCTTTGGAAACGGGTAAAGAGCCTTGGAGTCGGCAAGGATAAATCGTCACCTCCATGTGAGTTTGATCCGGACGAAGTGAATCAAACATTCGCAGCCAACTTTACAAACAGCACCAATCTGCGCCCAATCAGCATACTTTGCGCGTTGTCGAAGGTTTTTGAGAAGCTTCTCAAACAGCAAATTTCCTTTTACATCGAAGGTAACAACCTGCTGACTGACTGTCAGGCTGGTTTCCGTGGAGGCCGGAGTATCAAAACTACGGCTCTTTGAGTGCACGACGATTTAGGAGCCATCGTTGATAAAAAAAAAAGGTGCTGGTATACTGCTACTTCTGGACACCCCAAAGTTTTCGATACTATCCCTCATAGCGAACTATTAGCACAGCTGGAAGTACAGTTCAACTTTTCCTTTGATGCTGTAAACTTGATGGAGTCATACCTTCTTGGAAGAAGACAGACGGTATTCTGTGGTGCCGTCCGGCGTACCTCAAGGCTCAGTCCTTGGTCCTCTACTTTTCTGCTGCCATATTAACGAGCTACCGACGGTGCTGCAGTTCTGTTCTATTCAGATTTTTGCCGATGATGTGGAACTTTACGTCAGCCGGCTCGGTCCTTGTGCTCGTGAGTTGGTCAGGATGGTGAATGCAGATCTCGAACGAGTTGCAGATTGGTCGCGGCGAAACGACCTTCACGTGAATCCAGCAAAGAGTAAGGCGATGTTCATCACAAGTCGGCGTCGCAGAGCCAGCGGCTTTGTTCCACCCGTACCGGGAATTGTGATGGACGGTCAGAGCATCGGATGGTCGGAAAGTGCGAGCAACCTAGGGTTCATCTTCCAAAGTGATCTGCAGTGGGATGGCCTGATAACGCAACAGTGTGGAAAGATCTATGCTTGTCTTCGCTCGCTATACTGCTGTGCCTCCACCGTGCCGACTGAGACCAGATTGAAACTATTCAAATCCTTGATCCTACCACATTTCTCGTTCGGCGATGTTCTACATATCCGTCCTAGTGCAAGCTGCTTCGACCGATTACGTGTGGCGCTAAACTGCTGTGTGAGATATGTCTATGGATTGAGCCGCTACGACCATGTGAGTCACCTGCAACAGAACCTCATTGGATGTTCGCTACAAAAGTTCTAGGCATATCGCTCCTGCAATTTCCTGAGAAAACTGCTATCAACACAGTCCCCAGCTATACTTCATGGCATACTCATCCTAGCTCGAGGTCGTCACTTGCAGAACCTAGTAATGCCAGCTAACAACACCGCAGGTTACGCCAGTTCACTGTTCGTTCGAGGTGTGGTAAACTACAACTCGTTACCACCCGCAGTAAAGTGCTCTTCGTCGGAAGCAATTTTCGAGAGTGGCTGCATCAATTTTTGGTCCCAAATGAATTAGAGAGTTTTATAAATTGAATAGGCTAGGTAGTAATGAGTAATTTAATTAGTAATATTTTTGATATTTGTATCCATTGCTAAACCGGAGATAGTAATTTTAAAAGATATGTATCTTACGCTACTGGACAATGAACAAACAAACAAACAAACTTGTACTCATTGAACGACGTGACTGGTCATGTAACTTTTTTTTTTTTGACCCGACTGCTGAAAGGTTTAAACATATTCCACTGTGTTTTACAATCAACAAAACTGCCCAATGCCCCAAGGATTTTCTTCTTCCAAAAAATAATTGAACCGCACCTCAACATAGATTGCGTCCTCCAGAATGAACGAAAACCAACAAAAGGAAGATTGGTAGTAATTACACTCGTTGTATAGTTTTTGTTTCGCGCTGTTGTACTGACCTGTAATAATGAAAGTGTGCGACTACAGTCTGTTTTACCAGGGAAGAAAAATAGCGAATATTGTTCAACGTTTAATTGAGTGGGGATTACAATAATTGGAAAGTGTAATGTTTGCCAGTGAACCATAGTCAAAATACTGGCTACTGAAAAAAGAAACATACTGCTTCGCGAGTTTTCCAATCAAGAGCATTGTAAAGTTTTCCAATGGGATCAATGTTGCTTCTTAATTTATTTTAATATTTATTTGACCATGACAAAAATGACGGAAATCTGCCTTAGCATTAGACGACAGTTGATTCGTTCCGATATCCATACCTCAGACGCTAATTTCTATAGTAAACAGCCAAGTTGGTGCAAATGAATCCATATTTTATTGCTACTTAAACATACCTATCTTAACTGGAGACCACTATTCAAGCGGGTTCATAGCTTTCCATCCATTAGGAATACGTAGCAGTTTATGACTTTTGTTCAGCCGAGCGAATCTCCGACGGTTATTCCAGTTTTATTGACGAAAATAAAACAGCGCACACTATTTCTCTCTTTCTCTCCTTCTTCAGTAGATCACTTCACTATACAGGTGTCATATTCCACCAACATCTCAATCACCAATCGACATTTCCATTCCATCAACAATCGTCAACGAGCTTCAGCCAATTGGAACCACACCGACTGTATTGCCTTCTTCCGTATTTTGCTTCACTTGTTGTTATTGTGTTTATTTGTTTTTTTATTTCGCTTTCGCTATTGTTGATACTAGAATTCCTCATAAACCAAGAATCACCAAATTACGGTCTAAAGTTGAACACAAGCGCCCACTCCCCACGCACAAACACCACATCCAGCACCGTCGTCGTACTCCCTTGTTTGTTTATCAAAGTAATTCCGTACCGCATCTCTGATCGAACTGATGGCCGTCTCCGCAGCACCGTTCACACCTTTATTGATGCCGAGTGCGGGGTCTTCTCCCGCTGGAATTTGATTTCTTACACATGTGCCAGACGACGTCACCAAAGAACCCAAGTAAAATTGCAAAGTTTATCACGACTTTAAAGCATTCTTCGAGTCCACATCATGGTCTACAAGAAAATTGTTACTTGGCAACTAATCACACCACACGTTCATTCGAATCGAATTGCACTATGACCCCCGGAAACAGCATGCAGCTTCAAACAGGTCACTTCATCTTTCGCCACCCCGCGGCAATAAAAATGAATTATATCATTCGAATCCGTTCCGCGACCGCCTGACCGCTTCCCATAAAGAACCACCACGCACACACACACACGGCGCTTCCAAAGTTCTCGCACTACTGGAGGGGCACACTACCAACCCGGCTGAAGGTTCGAAATGAACTGTCCTCAGCGTTTCCTTCCGACCACTTTGTATGTTTACCAACGGCTGCTGAGCTGAGGCTGATGTGCGGTGGTGATCTCGGTTCACACTGAACTGCTCCGTCGCGACGAGCTATTATCAGCAATCTCACAGTCACAGCTGATGGGCGGTGTGTTATGCTGGCAGTTTCATCCACACAGGTTCCTCGGCGAAGCTGTGGAGGACCGTTTTTGGCGGGATTTCCTGCGCACGCGTCCTGCCGGTTGGCGGTGGAAACGGGCCATGCTGCTGGTCGGCAACACGGTACGACATCGGTCGGTAGCTATCCGGTGCCGAAGATGCGTGGCTGATTGGCCAGTGGCGTAGCAGGTGGGTACGGTTTCCCGATTCGGCTCAGGATTTTTTTTAGATTTCGTCATTGACGACTGAATGTCTCACTCACTTCTGATGTTATAGCTTGTGGCGTGCTAACTTGTTCTCCGGCTATATGAGCAGACGGCTTAAGCTCCATCTCCTTAGAGGACCATCCACCGAGTCTAATGTGCCGGTCAAGAAACCCAATCTCAGGGCGGGTTTGTGTAAAATGAGTCCAAATAGCGGTTTGGAGAAGGATTTAGGAAACTCAAACGGAACACACGAATGAGATTTCTCAAATATAGAGGTCACTCTTAGCGATTTCCAAAAATAATCGGTGCTAACGGTCGTTCTACCTACCCACGAAAACACCTTCACCTTGAGGAGAATGCCCAACAAGCTTCAGCTTTATAAGCCATCTTTGCACGAGGAAGGAAGTTGTGACACTCGGCAACTTGGCACAGTACTCGCTGATCTTTTGAATGTCACTAGCCAATCCGACACTGTAGTTATCATTCTCTAGAAGGGGTCGGTCGATTTCAAGAATTGTTAAAGCATGCAGATGATCAATATCCTGTGGTTTCATGTTTTGACAACATCTAAAATGGAAACATATTCTTTATCAATACGTACCGTTTGGGATTGTAGTTCTTCAACCTTTCATTTTCGTTTTCTCCAAAATTAGATCCTGTTACGAATTCCGTTGGATCGTGATGTTTGTACCGGATCGTTCTTCATTTTGAATCCTTGAATTTTCAGCAGCTTCCGAATGACGGTAGTTCACTCAATGGTGGTGGAAGCTGCCAATTCCTTATAATTTATTGCTTCCAACAGACAAAATAAACAATATTTCGGTTCCTCATTCACAAGTAAAAGCTATTTTCACTTGATCCACCATGACAAGTTTTTCGGTTTTAGTTTCTAAAACCACCGGCTTGCTGGGATTAGAATACAAATTGCTATAAAAGTTTGTAGAGCAAAACAAAAAGAACAACGAGTACCGTGTTATTATTCATTTCGGTGACATTAGGTCACACACACAGTCACTGTTTATGAGCAGTCTCACTAACACTTGTGCTTCAAAGTTCCACCTTTGATTGACAGAGGCGCTGTTATCAATGACGTTTGACATATTTATGGGAGAAGGGAACAGTTGCCAGTCTTCTTGATATGTAGTCTTCGCTTATATGCAAATATTAACCATCTTTTAATTTGTAGCTGCAAAACAAAGCTAATAAAGTAAATATATTACTCATTTGATGGCTTCTACACAACCAACAAATAACATAAACATCAAAAGAGCTTTTTTAACAACTAAACAACCTATACTCAGATAATAAACTGTTTTAGCGCTACTTTGGAAGCATTTTTTTAAAGTCATCTAGGTTAATTTTTAGACTTTTACAGTTTTACAGTTTTTACTTCGCTTCTTTTTAGAAGAGCACGTATATTTGTTTACGTCAGATGCTGCATCCGCTACCATACCAAAGATCAGTAGCCTACCAGGACGAAAAGCCCTCCGTTGGTGGAGCGAAGACACCAAAAAAGCCGTTAAAGCCCGCCGGAAAGCTCTACGGAAACTCAGGCGAACCCCGAGAGATGACTCAAACAGGGAAGAGCTACTAACCCGGTACCGTGCACTGCATATTCAATGCAGTTTCCTTGAAAGCATCAACGCCTCACAGTCCTCGGCCGATCATTGGAGAAGGGTTAATTCTCTCAGCGGTAAACGGCATTCGACGCCATTATATGTACAAGTTAGCGGAGTTACCGTCTCCGAACCGGCAGCCATCGCCGAAGAACTCGGAGGGTATTTCGGCCATCTCCGGTAACGATAGCCACTTTCAGCGGTTGGCAAAGCCTACCCGTACATCAGTCGCTGAGTTCAGCATCCCGCCCGACACGAACAACTTCGAGATCAACGAGTCTTTCTCCTGGGAGGAACTCCAGCACGCACTAGGTCGCAGGAAGCTGCTCTTGAGGGCAAGTGTTGCATTTTGGACATCTTTCTATTTGGACATTTTCTTATCACCATTTGTGGCACCATTTGGCCACATCAAACTTCACTATTTGTGGCACCATTTGGCCACATTAAACTTCACTTCTTTTTCACTGAGTTCTCCTTTTTAGGGGTTTGTCATCATCCATTGATATCATACACTCAGTTTTGACTTTTGTCAAGACTCTCTCTAGACTGGCTCTAGACTGTGTCTAGACTGTGTCTATACTGTCTAAATTTCTTTATTCCAAACGGTTTTTATGTTTACAATGTGTTGTTCAAATAATCTAGTACTTCACCATTCTAAAGAATGGAGAGGGATATGTATCGGAGAGAGTAATCGGTCTCGATCCTAATTGGTTGTTATTTTGCATCTTTCTTTCGTGCGCTCGGAGGGCTTAAGCTCATGCGCGCGAAAGGGAGAATTGTATTGTCGCGTGGGTGAGTTTTCTATTCCGTGGGAATGTTTGTCGTCGGTCGCGTGCTTCGAGTGGATGTCAGCGTTTACGTTTTCGTTCTTTGTCAACCGTTCTGGTTTTTTCATGTGTGGTGGGAATATGATAGGTATGCAGTTAGGATGGTCATAGTCACTTGTTCGTTCTGAGGCAATAAATTAACCTTTCGAAATCTCAAGTGTGAAATGATGATGGTTGTCTTTGGTGTTAGGAAATTGGTTCTGGAAAATGTTGTTTTACAGTGGGAATGGATTGTTGGGTACGTCTCGGATTGCAAACATGCATTTTGTGAATTTGGGTCGATCGGGTCTTAACGTTAATGTCTTTTGAAATTTATTGTCGTGGGATAGTTTTGTCTGGTCATGACTTGGTCGGTTTTGTGGGAACGTAATTTGCATCTCTAATTGAAATTGAAAAAGTTAAGGTTTGTACCTTACAGCATGCTTGAGATGCTCAACCAACTCTGGGTTTTGGATACCTACCCGACACTGTGAAAGGAGAGTCTCGTCGTGCCCATCCCGAAAGCAAACGAAAAGGACAGGTGCACATCTAAGTTTCGGCCTATCGTTCTCACATCCTGCATGGCCAAGGTTTATGTTCGAACGGATGGTGAACCGTCAACTCAAGATGTTCCTTGAGACCAACAGCTTGCTCGACCACCGATAACATGCCTTTCGACAAGGTTTCGGTACGTCCACTCGGTACTTTGCCACTTTGGGGGACGTCCTCAAGCAAGCTTACGACCAGGAACACCACGTTGCAATCATCTCATTGGACATCTCCAAGGCCTTCAACCGGACGTGGACGTTAGCCGTCCTGGAAAAACATACAAATTGAGGCTTGAAGGGGCATATTATGTATCTCATACGAAACTTCTTGACCGAACGGTCATTCCGTGTATTGGTGGGGAACATGCGGTCGAAAAGTTTCAGCGAGGAGACCGGTGTCCCTCAAGGCTCCGTTATCGCAGTCACGTTGTTGCTGGTGGCAATGAACGGGGTATTTGACCGGCTACCTGGGCGCATTTACATATTTGTTTACGCTGACGTTGACGGTCCCACACAGATCCGAACCCTACGGCAAGCGCAACCGGCAGTCTCTGCCGTCGTCAAATGGACCGACTCGATGGGTTTCCAGCTGTCCGCCAGGAAGAGCATCCGATGTCACGTATGTCCGTCTCATCACCGAGTCAATAGCACCCCAGTTACGATTCACGACTAAACCATTCCAATAAGGAAACTGATCGACCGAACGCTCTCATTCGACCAGCATTTCCAACAGGTCAAAAAGGACTGCCGCAGTAGACTCAACCTCGTTAAAACGATCTCTCAGCCTCACCGATCCTACAACCGCGATGTTCGGTTCCGGGTGACGCGAGCCATCATCGACAGTAGGTTGCTTTACGGGACGGAAATTACTTGTATCGCCTCTGAAAAGCTGGTTAGAACCCTAGCATCCGTCTGCATCATATCTGGTCTCCTTCCTTTCCGGTTCTGCTCTAGGCAAATATTGCCACAAAAGCCACCGCCAAGACCTCCGGAAACAATAGGATCTTCCTCCTCGACGAGGGGAACAGAGGCCTCCGCACGACCGCCGACATCGACCTCCCCCCAGTGGCCAAAGTCCATTGGCATGGAAAGAAAAGTTGGCACTCTTCACGAATCCAATTGGACAACTGCAGAGAAGTCGCTCTGCCTAACTTAACCTTCTCAAAAGAAGCCAAAATCTACCACTTGGTATAGCTGGAATTTCTATCGGCCGTCGGGACATCTCAGCTGAATGGATTTCCCCTATTGGACCCATGCCAGCTGAGCTCTGTTTTGTTCGGATTATTCGTTTGTAGCTGGTTTTAAATCATTTTGTTTTCTGTTGTTCCTCTGTTTTACTATTTTATATTTTTTTTAATTTTATCCGTATCAGTTGATACTATTGTATCACTTTTACTTTCATTTTCACTTTCACTAATTCACTAATCAATAATTCACTATTCACTTTCAATTGTTACCATCCTAAATGTCAACATTTTGCATTAAAATTTTGTGTGGAAACTATGTGTTCAGCAAACTTCCATTTGTATTGCGAACAGTAGCACCGATAACGATTGTGGGTGGCGAGTGAAGTCGGCTGCAATAATTGGAACGGAAATGT